AGAGAAATGTATGCTAGAAGGACCTGTAACATGAAATATGTACCTTATATTTTGATTCCACTGTTTAATCATGCAAATGTTAACAAATCTTCCCATTTACACATTTAATTATCCAAAAATAGAAGCTAAACAGATCTACGTTTAAATAAAATAAAAGCATTAAGTAAAATAAAAATGAAACAAGTCAATATTTTAAACCAGACACTATTTGCACAATTACACTATTTTCATTCTATTTTTCATACCACTGAGTGCTATATTTTCACCTACCATTTCCGTCTTTGTTATCCTAATAACAATCTTAATTCTAATAACTAGTACTGCTAATAAAAATATGATATCCTAGTTTATTAACATATCTTAGTGTCGGGCTGGAGATTTAGCTCAGTGGTTCCGCCACCTGCCTCGCAAGCTCAAGGTCCCAAGTTCAATCCCTGGGACCAAAAAAAACCAAACCAAAACAAAACATATCATAGTGTCTGGCAGTCCACCCAGGGTTGGGCATTTGGAGTTTTTTTAAATTTAGGTATTACAAATAAGTTATAAATGTCTTTCAAAAATTAAACTGGATTTGGGCTGAGGATTTAGCCCAGTGGTTCCGCCGCCTGCCTCGAAAGCGCAAGGTCCCAAGTTCCATCCCCGGTACCAAAAAAAAAAAAAAAAAAAGAAAGAAAAAAAATCACACTTTTTTCCTTCCAATCCATTTGAGTAACTTGCTTCCTTAATGTTTCATCAACTCTAAATCTGCCCAGTGTGTATCTCCTCCAAGTAAATGCATTTTCCATTTAACCACAAAACCATCAAAATCAGCAAAGTAACTGTCACTTCCATTTAATGCTCATATTGCAATAAACTTTCACTGATAATATCCTTTATATCAGAGGGAGCCAGTTCAAAAATGTATAGTATTTAGTTGTTGTGTTTTTTTAGGTTCTTTCAGCCAGAAGAGTCTCAGTCTTTCTCTGACTTTGTGATCTTGATACTGATAATTACACGTCAATTATTTTGTGAACTTCTCTCAATCTAGGATTGTCTGATGCTTCTACATGACTAGACTGGGATTATGCAATTCTGGCAGGAATACCACAGAGGAGACCTTATATTCTTCCCAATGCACTCTATCAGGTGGTAAATAATTCTGATTTGTCCTCTTACTGACTTGGATCACTTGTTGTCTTTGATAACTTGAAGAAGATTGTATCTGCCAGGTTTCTCCAGTGTAAGTGACTTTTGCTTATGTAAATAAGGTACTGAAACTGTGTACACTTCTTTATTCTCATCAAACCTGCAATTAATTTATTTATATTGGTAAAAACTCATGATTTCCTAATTGATTCAGCGGGGATAGAGTATGGTATTCTCTCACCTATCTGATGCTGCAACTATTCCTAATTTGGGCAGTGGGAGTCCTTCACAGATGGAGTCTGCGTCCTTCTGACTTGTTTCCATCATTCCTCAAGTGTGTTTCTGCCACAGGATATTACCGAATTACCTCATCTTTCCTGCCTGAGCCCTGGAACCTGTCACTTGTACTTAGTGGTTTTAGTGGGGAACAGTATTTAAAAGGCAAGATGTGACTGTTGGGTGTGCTCACCGCTAGTGGGGTGGTACTGAGTGCAGTCCCTTCTTAGTAGAATTAAAGGAATTAAGGGAAATTATATATTTACGTATGTACATATACATAGATTTAGTTCAGTTTCCTCAGGGTTACAGGATTTATACTTAAATTTTCTTCCTTTCCATATATATATATATCTTTCCCAACAGCGAAAACTATGGATATAACATTGGCTTAACATACATTCATTTGAAAAATCTCTCTGCATGCAATCAATTGTTGTTCCCATTATTCTCTTTCCTGTTTAGGTTCTGTGCCCTCCTTACTCTGCTCTGGCTCTTACTACTCACAACAGCACATACCCTGTCAAGAAGTTTTATTCATGGTTAAGTCCAAAGGGCTACCATACCTCCTCTTAACCTCCCTACACCTAAAATGCAGATTAACTACCTCGCTTTGCTAATGGCTTTAGTATGCAATTGAGCAGAAACGTGGAAAGGGAATATCTCTTTAAAATTTTCCTTTTTTGGAGGCTATCTTTCAGTGGTAATTTTATTTAGTGCACATACAGTTATATTAGGCTTAGTTAAGAGCTACTAACAATAAGAATGGTAAGACTAACCATCTTTCTTTTTTTTTAAGTCCTCACAATAGTAATTTTATTAAATTAGTTACTTTATAAAACATTGCAGATGTCATAATTGTGAACTTAACAATTTATCAAACTGTAGTTAACTGGTGCAGTTTGCTGAGCATGTTTTATAAAGGAAAGGAAATGCCACAACCTTGTTAAAGTTGTTCCACTGCAGCCTTCTTCAGCTTCAAAGTTGGCATCTTTCTTACATTCCATGCTCATCAGGCATTAGAGTAGTCCTTCCTTCTTCCAATTTTACTTCCTCATAAATGACCTGATATTTTTGCCTGAATCTGTAAAGATTTTCTAGATAAACTTTAACTAGAATATACCTAAATTTCGGCCATTCTGAGTCTTCCTGGATTATGCTGTGTTGTTTCAACATAAAGACTTTTTATTTCAAGAAAAGTTTCCTTGTGTGCCCTGAATTATAATTTCAAACATTTCTCTTCCTTTGAAAATATTTTGTTAGAACTCTACGTATATGTTGCATAGACATAACTGTCTTCCACTACTGATATTTTCTTTCTAATCTTTTAGATTCTTTTCACTTTGCTGCATTTTGTTTATTTTTCCTAGTGTAGCCTCTAGGTCTCCTACTGAGTTTTTGTAGTGTCTCCTTGTGTTCCAATTTCCTTAAGTGAATAATCTGTTTGCTTTCTTTTTTCCTGGGTTCTGCTAGCACAAAGTTAATCTCTTCTGGTTGTTGAGCCATCTTTTCCCATGATTATTACATTTGTATTTTATATATGAATCGCTAAAGACATTAAGGTTAATTTTTCACGATTTGTGTCAGTACTTTTTTGAATGTGCATGTGTAATTGTTTTGCTGAGCTTGCTGCAATTTTCTACCCTAAAGTAATATTTTTGCACAAATGCTAGACTAGTTACTTTAAAATTATTTATTACAGAATGGAAGTTAGATTTTGCTGAATCAGCTATTTGCAGAAAGTTTGAAGTTACAGGGCACTGGTAGCCCAGGTAACTTTTCACAGGCTTTAAAACCAAAGGGCTGTCACATTATCTGATTCTACACACAGACAGACCGCTTTATCCAAATATGGCTCCTCTATTTCTCTAAATCAAACCACATCCTGTATGGTTTCTGCTTCAGCCTATTCCCCTAATACCCATAAAAAACAAGGGATTGTGTTTTTATATTTCAAAAATGACTCCTTCACATACACACACACACACACACACACATTTATTTGAGACAGGCTCTTGCTATGTAGTTCAGGTTGGCCTTGAACTCACTATGTACCCCAGGGTGGCTTTGCACTTACTGGTGATCCTCTGCCTCAGCCTCCAGAGTACTGAGATTACAGGCGTGCATCATCATGCTTGACTCCTTCACCTTTAGGAGTACCATTTTGTCATATTCTACATTCTGCTACACTGAGATGATGATGATGATGATGATGATGATGATGATGATGATGATGATGATTTTGGTACCAGAGATCTAATTTGGGACCTTGTACTTGTGAGGCAGGCGGCGGAACCACTGAGCTAAATACCCGGGCCTATACTGAGATTATTGACAGCTCATGGTTTATTCTTTCCCTCCTTCCACATGGGTTCTACCAGATCTCAGCTGCTTAAGTAGCCTTTGCCTGTATTTTGCTGTCCAAGTAATATACCTGTCTTCTCAGTTTTGCTTGACACAAGGTAGAGTTATGTGTGTAAAAGTGCATGTGTGTTTTATTTGGCTTGTTCCTTTTATGTTTTCAGGGGAGGTCAGGAGCCAGATAGTGACTCACACCCTTATTCCTACTTAAGAAGCCTGTATTCATTATAAGCATGCAAATGAGAGGCTGCCTATTATACCAAGCAACCAGTGATTGAAATCTGGCTTCTATTCAGTGTATAGGGTGGGAATGTGCTGCCTCTAAAATAAAAGCATGGGTGGTCCACACTAGCAGATTTCTCACAAAAAAAATCAATGAACTAGCATTCTGACTTCCTATTTCTCTTTTTTTGTTAATGTTTGTTTGAAAGTTATCTATTAGATAACTGAACTTACCCTTATTCAGCTACTCAGCCTACAAGGATGAGTTTTATAGACTGACAGAATCTACCTGCGTATTAGGAAACTTCAAAGAATGCTAAAAACCATACTAGGTTTTATTATAAAAATAAATTCTACTCCAAGTATAATAAATGTAATAGTTACTAAATTATACAAGGTTTCATTTAAGTTCTAAATAATAGAATGTTTCATTTAATCTTTTTATGCCCAGTGTTACATTTTTGGAATGCATGCAACAATGGAATATAATTTTTTTCTTCAAATTCTTGTTCCTTGAATTTTTCTAGGTAACATACATGAATTCCATGCAAAAACTTAAAAAATTGCAATTTTGGGGATAAATGGGTTAACTCCTAAATTACAGGACATTTCATTTGGCTCCGTTAGTCACATCATGTTTTTCCTCTTCTTGTTGTTTATGAACATCAACAAGTATGCTATGTATTCTTTTGGGTGTTTAGACCTTTTAAATCTCCCTGAGTTTTCAGTGTTAAGTGGCTGTGTCGATGTACACTAGAGTCTTGTATATTTAACACTGCAGGATTTCAAGTTTTTCATTACCACCTTCTTTCCCATGAATCTAGTAAAACCATGTCCATGAAACTACCATTTGGACACACAGCATCCTAACTGTGCAGTCATCTCTTTATTTTAAATAGTAATAATGGTTATGAGAAACATACCTTAAACCTTGATATTAACAACACACTCTAATTCAAAAGTTAGAAAAATCTGAGTGACCTCATTTTCTTTGGCAATATTTTTATTTTTGTTTATGATTTTTATTATTCTTTTAGATCAATGAGCTAGTAAAATATATATTAAAAGGTATGTATTTGTTTAGAGGTTAGAGTTTTAAAAAATAGCATTTGAAAGTTAATTCAAGAAATGGTACAATGCTCAAAGGAATGGGCAGATAAAAGTTCCTACATCTTATTAAAAACACTTTTGACCTGGAAAATTAGGTTTAAGACTAACAAATCAGAGCAAAACAACAAAAAGTTAAAACTTGGTTTGATCCTCAGTACCAAAACAAAAGAGTTAAGCTTGGAAAATAAACATTAGGAGGAGACTTTAAAATTTTAAACTACAATAAGCACTAATCATAGAAAAAATTTTATTACCTTCAGGTCGATATTGTGCAACAATTGTTACAGCCTGGCCAGCATTTTTCAATGCAGCAGCTGCCTGCTCATGACTAGCAGCTCTGAGGTCAACACTATTTACCTGTAAATCAAATGAAATCTTAATCTGAGAGAAAACAATCACTTTGATTTAAAATCACAATGGCTTGTTATTTGTGAAGGTATAGGTTAGCTACAATAATTTTACCTCTAAAATATATAGTACAGTTCAATAAAAACTTACTATCATTCAAAACAATTTTATTCACTAAAAATACTTTGCTTAATGCCAACCAAATAAAACCAAATGTTTTCCCCCAGGAAGTTTTCAACAGATCTATTGAGAAATGCATCTTAATTTGACAAAAGTCAGCAAGTGCCATCACTTTGCATATTTCATTTCACTAGTAACTCAACCAATGGGAGGGAAATTTATCTTTTGCTTGTAGCATCCACTCAGTTCCTACTACATCCTCATTCCTACAGCTCAATTCAGTTCCAATTCTTTCTTCCTTTTACAACTAAAGCGCCCATTCTTTTGGTATAACAGAAAAATAATTACTGAAAGACTATTTAAGAGTTCATTCATAGCAACATTATAACTGAGTGTAATAAACCTGCAATTTAAAAAAACCGAAAACCAGCAGAAGTAGAATGATGCAGAGTTCAGGACTTCCACTGAAAATTTTTGGACAGGAAGACCATTATGTAAATTTTATATGAAAATCTATTCTGTTGAGAGTTAATCCAAAATCTGTTAAAGATTACATAACACTGTTCCAAAATTTGACAACGAAGCCAGAAATTCTTGAGATCATAAAATTTACATAAAAGAACGTTTTAACCGTGTAAGATGTTTTATATTATCTATAAGGACATCATTATGCAACCAAAGTAAAACACACAGCCCTAGGGCCGCAGATTTAGCTCAGGGGTTCCAGCGCCTGCCTTGCAAGCGCAAGGTCCTGAGCTTGATCCCTGGTACAACCCCCAAAAAACCCCAAAAAACAAAACACACAGCCCTTGAATGAAAATTAAGACCAAAAGCCCTAACTGAAATTAGAGAATGACAACCAAGATCTAGAAACCCTAAGCTAAATCTAAGCATAGCAACGTGGTTATTAGACAACATCTCTAGCTAAAGACGGTAATAAAAAACTCAAAATAATGTATAAATAGTTCTAAATCTAAAGGAAGATAAACTTTTACAGATTATTGTAGAAAAAATAAAACTTTTAATGAATTATTTCTGTGGATCAAATTCTTTTGTTTCAGAAAAGATTTGAAGACATTCTATATAGATTTAAAAGTACATAATTTGACAAGATTATAAATTAAGTACTTTCCAAAGTATTATTTAACATTTCAAAGGAAGTATGATACACTATCAAGGATATTTTAGAACAAATCTGTGGTGAAAGACATATTTGTGCAAAAAAAAAAAAATCAACATAAAAATGGAGAAATGCTTCATGTACTTGGAAAGCCACTTTTTAAAAGTGTACCTTTTAGTGGGTTTTACTACATTCACAATTACCCCATTTAATTCCAAAATAATTTCAGTATTTTCTTTCCTCAAAAAAGAAATTCTATATCCAGCTGCCCCCCTCACCCTCACCCTGAAAACTTTCCTTCTCACTAGATTTGGCTATTCTGCATATTTCAAATCAAAGCGACACTATAATATGTGGCTATTTCTGCTTGGCTTCTTAGCAGTTTTCAAGGTTCATCCTCATAGCACTTACCAGCACTTCACTACTAATTAGGGTTCAATAATATGCTACTGTATAGGATATACCATATTTTATTTATCTACTTCCTAAATATACTGCTAAGTATTTTATTCTTTTTGATATTACTATAAATGGAATTATCTTCTCTTTCCTCCCTCCCTTATTTCATCCTTTTATCTTTCATCTTTTTTTGTGATTCTGGTGACTGAACCCCTGGTCTCCTGCATGCTAGCCAAGTACTCTATTACTGAGCTGCCCCAGGCCCTGTTTTGTTAATTTTATTTTTGAGTTGTTCAAGGCTGATTAATGGAAATACAGTTGCCTTTTATATAGTAATCTTCTACCCTGCAATCTTGCTCTAGTAGTTTTAAAATTTAAATTAATACTATATTTTCTATATACAAGATTATGTAAACCATAGAGTTTTCTGTCATCTTTTTGTTTTGTTTTTTTGAGACAGGGTCTTACTATATAGTATAGGCTGGCCTTGAACTCACTATGTAGTGGAGGCTGGCTTCAAACTTGCAATAATTCTCCTGCCTCAGCCTCCTCAGTGCTAGGATTATAGGCATGTGCCATCATGCTGGGCTTCTGTCTTCTTTTTAACTCTGGAAGACTTTTACTATGTTTCTTTTACTTGCTCAATTGCTCAAGCTAGAACCTCCAGTATGTTGAACACAAATGGGAAGAGTATAGCTACCTTGTCTTATTCCTGGTTTTAGAGGAAAAGCTTTCAGGTTTTCACTTTTTTGTCAGCTATCACTTATCAGGCTGAGGAAGCTCCCTTGTATTTCTAGTCTGTGGAGTATATATATATATTTTTAATGAAGTCTTGAGGGCCAGGGATTTAGCTCAGTGGTGCCCCCACCTGGCTTGCAAGTGCAAGGTCCCAAGTTCGATCCCTCGGTACCAAAAATAAATAAAAAGGAAAGAAAGAAAGCAAGCCTTGAGATGGAAAGAAAGTCTTGAGATGAGCAAGTCAGGCCTGGGGTGGTGGACTCAGAGTGCTAGAGATCCAGGTTCCTTCTGTCTATTTTGCTGTCCCACCATCTTGGTGTGTAGCATCCACCTCATGGTCCAGTGTGGCTGCTTGTGCTCTGCCCATCACATCCCACATTCCAACCAAAAAGAAGCCATAAAAGAGAGAATACCCCCCTTGTCTTTTTCTGAAAGTCATGCAAGCCTCTTTTCTTTCCTTCTGTTTCATTAGCTAGGAGTTAGTAACACGGCCATATACCTAGAGAGACTGGGAAAGGTAGGCTGTATTTCTAATGGCTGTGTACTTGCTGAAAATTATCTTGCTATTATTAAGGAAGACGGGAACAAGATATTGGGGGGCTGCCACATGCTACTCTGGTAGGTATAACTTTCTAATAGATTTGGGGACAGCAGAAGATTGTCAAGTATATAAATGTTTTTGCTTTGCAGTACTGGGGACTGAACCCAGGGCCTTCGCACTGAGCTACATCTCCAGCTCTTTTTATCTTTAATTTTGAGACAGGGTCTTGTTTATTTGATAAATTTCCCAGGCTGGCCTGGAACTTGTGATCTTCCTGCCTCGGCCTCCCAAAATGCTGGGACCCAATTATAATTTTTTGCTTAATTCAGTTCTTCTCAGGGTATCTGCTTCTAAGAGTAGCTATTTCTAGGTCTCTTCACTCCTGGATGTGATGTTCAGGCTGAGCAACCTCTCCAGGGGTCACTGGCTTCTTCTAGGTGCTGAAGATGCAGCTGGCCCTGTGGCGGACCGACCAGTACAGTGGGCTGCTGGACTGTGTGCGGCGGATCCTGGAGCAGGAGGGGCCTCGTGCCTTCTACCGCAGCTACCTGCCCAACATGCTGGGCATCATTCCCTACGTGGGCATCGACCTGGCCATCTACGAGGTTGGTGAGCAGCCCACCCTGCCCTCCCCACGCCCTCTGGGGTTGGCCCTGGGGGTCATCCCTCCTTCCCCAGGGCTGGTTCAATGGACCTCCTGCAGCCAGGGAAGGCAACTGTGGGCTGAGCAGCACCTCGGGCCTCAGAGTCCTGGGGACCCTCACAGGTGTCAGACCCCCACTTCACGCTTTGAGAAGCTTTGATTGGCAGCTTGGCTTTCTTTGGTCACTGGGAGTTGGGGAGCCACTACAGCAAGGAGATGAGCCTCAGAGTTGCCATTCTTCCCCAAAGCGTGTAGCAGATGCAGCCTCAGAACTCTTCAGGCCCATTCGAGCACCTGCTGTCTCCATAAAAACCATAGCTCATGTTGAGCATCTCTCGGCCTTGCGGGGAGCTTCTGCTTGCTCTTCCAGGGGCTCAGCTATTGCTGTCACCTGTCCAGGCAGCCTCACCAGGTCCTCCCGGTCATCTTACCAATTTTTGAACAAAAGACCCTACATTTTTATTTTATAATGGACCCTGCCTCCCCTTTTTTGTACTGGATATTGAACCCAGGGTCTTCTCACTGACCTACATCCCCAACCCTGTTTTTTTTTTTTTTGGTACTGGGCATTGAACTCAGGTCCTTGCACTTTCGAGGCAGGTGGCGAAACCACTGAGCTAAATCCCCGGCCCCCCCAACCCTTTATTTTTTATTTTGAAACAGGATCTCACTAAATTGCCCAAGGTAAGGCTTGACCTTGTGATCCACCTGCCTCAGCCTCTCAAATAGCTAGGATTACAGGCGTGCACTACCACACCTGGCCTCTGGATTGCATCAATTTTTTCACTCTTCCCGTTGTAAGTTTCTCAGAACCTGCTATCTATAGCCATCCTCCCCAGTATCCAGGATCTAGACAGCCAGCTGAGATGGTGCCACTGTTCATGTCTTCCTTCATTTCTTCCTTCCTTCATTCACTTAGGAGGTAGTTAGTAAGCACCTACGCAGGCTGGGCATCAGGCTGATTGCTGCAGGTTCATTCATGGTGGGGAACAAAGCCAGATAAGATGGTAGCAGCTCCTCTCCTGCTCAATTCTCAGAAGATCTTCAGGCGGGATTTGTCATTAGAAGTAGCAGTGTCAGGAGGTGGGTGGAGGAGCACCAGGAGCTGGCGACACTGGAGGCAGGAGTGAAGCACACTGTCAGGAAAGAGTGGAAGCCTTGAGCAGCTCTTCCCCAGCTCCTTAGAGGCAGAGTCCTGGGCTGGGATCCTCCTGGATTTGGGAGGCCTTGGTAAGTTCCTCTGGGCTCAGTTTACCCATGTTTTTGTGGAGCATTTTTCTTTTTAAGCACAAGAAGCATGGGTTTATGAGCACTGCTTTTTCTATGTTATTGAGGTAACCATGAGGCTTATGTTAATTACCCTGTTAGGATGGTGTCTTACTTTTGACTAGTTTTCTTATGCTGAACCAAGCATGCATTTTCTCTGGATAAATTTCTCTTGGCTAGGA